GGGCCGTTTTGTCCCAGGGGGGGAGTGAAGGTGAACGACCGATAGCATACGCGAGCCGTCGGCTTACGGGTGCGGAATCGCGATACAGCGCTTTGGAGAGGGAGCTACTCGCGATAGTGTGGGCTGTCGACCATTTCAGGCCATATGTATTTGGGAGGAAGTTTCGAGTCCACACCGACCACAAACCCCTTCAGTGGGTAGGAAAACTTAAGGAAACCTCAGCTAGGGTCACAAGATGGAAGGAAGTCCTGAGCCAATACAATATAGAGGTGGTATATAAGCCGGGAAAGGAAAACGTGGTGGCAGACTGGCTCTCTAGGGCCATCATGATCAACGCGGTAGAAGAGGACGTGGGAGGACCATCGCGAGACGTGCGCCAATTCTTGAGTGAGTGGACTCCCGATGGCGAAGGAGCAGATGATCTCGTCGCTATAGGGGACAGGGGAGAGTCCACGGAAGAGGAAAGCTCAGCGGAGGAAAGAGCACTAGAGATGGAGGAGATAGATGACATCATCAATGACAAGCATCGTCAGGTAATCTGGAAAACGAGAGTCGCAGGGATGATGAAAATAGATTACCGTAGATATGGGAAAAGTAAGATTCGCGTCATCTGGTCGCAACCCGGGGTGAGTGAAGAGCAAATCCGTACGGCACTGAAGGACGCCACGGAAGCGGGAAAAACGCACCATCTCTATGTTGGAAATAATACAGTATGGGAGAAAATAAAGCGGATGTGGAGATCCGAGCGAATAGGTGTGGACAGAACGCTCATCCGTTGCAAATATGCAGTAGAAACTATACAGGATAAGGAGCAACAACAGGCAGTCACATTGGCTTATCACCAGGGAAAAACCAACCACCGAGGCGCGTGAACGAGACTTGCAGGCATTACGTCGAAAGTATTTCTGGTGGGGAATGAAAAAAGCCATCCAAGAGGTCATCGGGAAATGCGAGGTGTGTATGCGCACGAAATATGATCGACATCCCCCCAGAGGAGTTCAGGAAGAGACCTACAGGGAACATGCCACTACAGGACCTCCAAATTGATACGTTTACCTGGAGAGGGTTCAAGTGGGTTACGGTCATCGACGTCTTCAGCAAGGTAGCTATGGCACACCAGGTCATGGACAAGTCTGCCAACGCAGTTGCGGAAGCCCTCCAAACCTGTGTGCAGTTCTACGGGGTCCCCGAGAGGATCACATCGGACGGTGGTAGAGAGTTTGACAATGCCGCGATTAGGGAGGAGGTGAAAAGACTAGGGATTCCTTGGCATTATAACACCCCGGGACATCCTAAAAGTAGAGGCGGCATTGAGCGGTTGCACAGCACGCTGAGTGACCACATCCGGGTGTATCAAGGGGAAAAAGGATTGGAGCCGGATGTTGCGATGAAGAAGGCGATAACAGCCTACAACCACTCGATTCACTCCGTCACGGGATTTTCGCCAGTGGAAGTACTGTTCGGGATGCGCAGGCCAAGGCGAGATTGCGCGGAAACAACGATTAATGAACCGGTAGTCGAGCAAATCCAGAGCAATAGGGTAGAGGTGGAAAAGACGTGGGAAAGAGTGACGGGGAAAATTAAGCGGGAAAAGCAGAAGCGGGTAGAGCGGCAAAATGTTCGCGTACGGACCAAATGGGTGACCTAAAGATCGGGACAATAGTGTACCGTAGAGTAGGAACCAACAGAGGGAAACAATTGTTACGATACGAGGGTCCATTCAGAGTGGTTGCTATTAGGGAACATAATCTGCTCACGATCGAAAGCGTTAATGAACCTAGAAAGAGGAGAACTGTTCACATTGAACAATTGAAGCTCCCAATGATAGAACCGGGACCAATGGATTCGTAGTACCCTCACCGCGGGTTATGAGAAATATGTTTTTTTTCTTGCTGTCAAAACGGAAACATGATGTATTTTTTTTTTATTATTATTTTTGTGTGTAAGTAGTATCATAGCAATACAGTAGAGGAAAGTGTATTTTTTTTTTTTAGGTTATTAAGAGTTCGGTTCTTACAAGCAAGTGTTGTGTTTAGTTTCTATGTTTTTTTTCTTTCTTTCTCGGAGTGAGAGTGAGTTTTAGTTTTAGTTTTAGTTTCTTTCAAGTGTATATTAGTAACAACAATTGTAAGGTATTAAGGCCGATAACCGTTGGCTCCGATCTAGGAATATCTAAGTTTCCGAAAATCCTATTCGTAAACTGGTGGGGGGGAGATAAAGACCGGAGACTGGCGATATCAGCCTTAATGCCATCCTGAATGTAAATAAACATCCCAAATGTATATAAGAAGGATTACTAGATGAATAAAGCAGTATCTATTCTGAAACCGTGAGTGTTGCATCTCAACCCTTTCCTTTCTTTTTTTTTTATTGTTAGAGTCCGCCGACGCTTAACTTATATATATATATATATATATATATATATATATATTTGAATTATATATATATATATATATATATATATATATATATATATATATATATATATAAGTCAAAATAATTGTGAATAATATTTAAGACTGAAAAGCTGTGTTTTGATGTAAAACAAGGTTACAACTTAATTTCTCATCAACTTAATGATCCAAATGAATGGAACTCATCTCACATCTTGTATTCTATTTCCCATTATGTTTTATTTTATTTAACGCGTGAAGGGAATAACCATCATGAACCTAAATTTTTTTTCTCCTTTCTTTTACATTAAAGGGTGAGATTTTATTTCTAGATAAATTGTATTTATTATAAATAGGACTCCATCTGACACTTTCATTTAAATACAATATTTCTGTATTTCCAATTGATAAAATGTTCAAAGCAGGTACTCAATATTTTGTTAAAATATTGCTAAAATATTCCAAAGTCTTATTTCTTCATTCAGGCATTATCAGTTTCAACAAAGGTTTTGAAGTTCGTTTTTACCTAGGTGAAAGCAGTTATTTTTCGATCAGCAGTTATATTATTTATATTATGTTGTGATACAATTATATTTATTATGAAATCATATAGTTGTAGTTATTATGATGAAATGGAAGCGCGATATAACAATGAAAATATTACAAGCAAAGGCTCAAATTGATGTTGAGCTTATATGAGACTGGGACAAGTTGAATATATATTATGATTACAAATTGGCAATAAGAATAATTATAATTATATAATAATATAAACTGGCAATATGCCGCGATGTATAGATTTTTAAAGAAATTCAAAATTTGCCCGACCTGTGGTTTCGTTCATTTTATTTCATGTTGATAAAAAATAATACAATCTGATCTGTAGAATACGTCTAAATTACAGTTGTACAACTTGAGCAATGAGCAGTACAATCAAATGAACAGTTGTATACTTTGTAAAATGGGGGTTGGTCCGCTGTTAGGTGGACAGGAGCTACCCCTTTCAAAACTATTAATTATAAAATACAAAAGAATTGTGTGAGAAGCTTCATCGATTTTATGAAATGTTATAGCCGATACTTGTATTACATATTAAGATCTCCCAATGGCACTATCCCACCGTTAGAACAAGGTCAAAAATCAGTTCTTATCGTTCGATAATTTTATAATAAATTTTAGACTTTAACCCTTTACTTCGGTCCTTGTTACATCGAAGAAAGTGAATTCTTCATTTCGAACCACTTTATTAAATTTTAATTTATAAAAATTATTGACCTAAACTATAACTGTAACTGAAGTAAAGTTATTTAAGTTATGAACCTTATGTTTTTCGCATACTTAAATATGACTTGAAATATTTGTAAAAGCATTTACTTCACATTTTCTTTCACAAAAGCATCATAAAATAGTTTTTCAAGCAATTAATGTGATTTTATATCTCATCTAAAGGTGAGTTGGAGTAATGAGAAGTTAAAACAAAATAAAACAAAACTAGAAAGAATAAATCAAGACAACATATCTTCCAATATACTATTCCCATATTCCAGGGGGCGGGGTGGCCGAATGGGCTAAAGCGTGTGCACAACACCACGAGTTGCCAGGCAACCGGATTACAGATTTGAGAAGTTTTAAAAAGTACGAGTTCGCGTCCTGGTGCCGGAGAGGATTTTAAATTCCCCGCCCTCAGCCTCCCATTATAAAAATGTACAATAAAGATGTAAATGTTTTTTTGTTCAAAGCCGCAAAAAAATGTGTCGCTATAAACTGTAGCGGCAAAACGGCTTTACCGATTTTAACGAAACTTGGCTAAAGTCTTCCCCTTGAAACCCTTTTAATTTATGTGCGTAACATACTTTCCCGAAAACAAGCTACTTATCTACTCTTATGTGCTTTCTAGTTTCATTTTACCAGGCTAGGCCACAGCAGCGCGTGGCCAGGTAAAGCTAGTTTTCATATAAATCATAATTTCTTTTTCCTTTGGACTGATGCAATTATTTGAGAAATTATATAGTTTCTGTGATTTTAATTTTATTTTTCCTACTAGCATACGTTTGGCTTTTTCTAATACATTTTCTTAGTTTCAATCACTAGTTCAAGTCTCTGAATTTCGATACAAAGCTGCAGTGATAAGAAGGGTAAAAATATTGTATTATCTGGCCAAATTGATGATTTGTCTCGTGTAGAGTTAATAAGAAAAAATAGGGAAACAAAAAATACGTTTAGGTAATCTTTCTCATGTATCGAATAGACGCATGGACTGGCCTTGGCAAAGGCAGCAACCCAACTGAGATGTTTGAATCAGTAAGACCCATTGTAGGTAAAATGACTGTTAGAAAAACAAAACCCCTTACACTGGCTTCAATGTCAACAACAGTACATAATAAATAACCACAGTACATACAGAATACTAATTTGGTGCAGATGTCTACCTGATCCGTTAGTGTAATCAATATGCATTTTCCTATTATTGTCTCTTATAAACTATGCCAATTGTTTTTAAAATAAAATAACTGAAACATGTGATAATTTAATATTAATCTATAGTTTTTATTTCTGTTTTGTTTTTGTAGATAATTTAGCTGCTTAGGGTTATTGTAGCAATCAGAGATGGCGAAGATAAGTCCCTCACCGCCGCCGATCGGTACCCACTTCGGGAAGACGGACTTGGAGAGGTTGGGCTACTTCGCAGAGATGAGCTATCTTAACGGTGGCGGATATACTCCCCTCATTACAAGTGAGCTCCTTTATCCATTCAATACTTTATCGAATCCTTGTAAAAAACTAAAAAATTTAAGAACAGATTGATGTATTTTTTCTTGTTTATTATATATGGCCTTCCGACAGAATCAAATATTACATTTTCGTTAGGATAAGAAACTAATATTCTAGTTAATGGAATTTCATCTTGATAAGCTTCTAAAACCTAATCTTTATTCCATCCTTAAAAATTAAAGTAGAGGAATTGCGCACAAACAGATTAGACACTTGCCTAAGAAGTAATTTTTGGAGGCCGGCTAATTCGAAAAAATGTGTTGAGATGCAACGAATTTGAGGGCGTAACAAATAGCTTAATTAAGCACATTACAATAAAGATTATCTCCAGTTCGTTTTTAAACATATACTGCTTATGTATCCTTTATAGATGATAGAAGACATCAGCTGAAGGAGAAGGATTATCTGCGGTTTCAAAATAGGAAAAACACGTTCGGCCTACTAGGTCTAACATTTACTTCTTCAGATAGAAACTGGTCTAGCAATAGTTATTGTGTAATATACAGGACTCAATGGCGATGCCTCGACAGTGTCGTCGCACTGATAGGTTTTCCGTGATGCTTGACGAAATCTTTTTCCTTAACTCGCTCATATTAACTCATTCAAACTAACCTAATCTGTTATAGCGATTGTTTGAAAACAAATAATAAATATTATCCAAAGTTTTTACATCATTCAATTCTTGGATTAGAACTAAAAACTGTTTCATATAGTTCCTTTTTAAGTTTCTTTGATTTGGTATTTACATTGAATTCTCTGATTTACTTTACATTAATTTAATCAATGAAACTTAATTATTATAACGTACAAATATTTATTGTATTTATGTAGATCATGTAGATCTTTTGTCGCTTTTACAAGCCTGCTCCATCTCTGTCTGATTAGGGCTATATAACACAGTATGAGGCAAAGGCCATATAACAGAGTATGAGAGAGTAGCGATATTTGAGAATGTTCATTCAAGTGTGACTACAAACGACATTAGGAAATCTGTCGGGATTGTTAGACGGGATAATGCATAAACATTTATGAAATTATCTGTCTCGAGATTATGATGCCTAGGTAATGACGCTGTAGATTGTTTTTTTTATATTATACATGAGTATGATTGATCGGCTCCTCTCCTTTGGCTATGTATATTTGTGAGCATATTAATCTGCTAATGTGAACCGGAGGTTAAAGAGGACAGATTTTATCAGCAGCTTAATCGAGTGATGGAGTCATATGTCATAGACGCCAATGACAATGACGAGAGGTTTTCATATTTCCATTTATATGTACGCCGCTCTGTTGCATCTGTGTTGATTCTACCTATCCATCTGCCTTTTGGCCTTCAACATGGCCTTCAATTTGGACTTTTCTATTCTATTGAGGCATTCATTGTTACGTAGAGGGTTCCAGAAGGGTTGCTACGAGCTATATGCCCGCCCATCTCAACCTTCATGCCTTCATATCATGGGATATTGATTGACAGTTACGGTAAGCAGTTCTTTATTTGTCTTTCTTTTCCATGTGTTAGAACTCTGACTCCAGATCGCTCCGGTTATCGTGCGAAGGATTTTCCTCTCAAATCTTTCCACACTATTTTCTAGGGTTCTAGTTAGTATCCAGGTCTCACAGCTATATATTAGAATTGACTTTACCATAGCATTTTATAACCTTAGTTTGAGATTATTCGGGGTTTTTATACCTTTGAGAGGGAAAAGAAAGCTCTGTTTGGACTAGTTATACGCTGGTCTATTTTTGCCCGTTAGCCATTCATTGAGGTTATTGTGAAACCGAGGTATTTGAATTTTTCTACTCTCGGTAATGATTTTCCTACTACACAGATCTTGTTATTCGGGTGAAATTTTCGGCTTATGATAATGTGCCTATCTATGATAATATGACATTATATATATATTATATATATATATATATATATATATATATATATAATTAAGACAAAACGAAGCACATTATCATAAGCCGAAAATTTCACCCCAATAACAAGATCTGTGTAGTATCAAACCATTGCCGAGAGTAGAAAAATTCAAATACCTCGGCTCCACAATAACCTCAATGAATAACCATATATATATATATATATATATATATATATAATTAAGACAAAACGAAGCACATTATCATAAGCCGAAAATTTCACCCCAATAACAAGATCTGTGTAGTATCAAACCATTGCCGAGAGTAGAAAAATTCAAATACCTCGGCTCCACAATAACCTCAATGAATAACCATAAATATATATATTCTACATTAATAACTCTTCTATAAAAATAAAAATAATAATACATTGCCTTACAGGACCAAATAGTGGAAACTATCTCGTACCGTAATTACGAGTACGTATTTAAAAAAGACGTTATTGATTAATGTCGAATTTGTTCATTCAGCGTATGGCAACACACAGCACAATATAAGCACGGAAAAATATCTTGAAATACTTGATAACAGTAATTCACCGAAATAATTTGCCAAATTTTATAATTTTGCCGAGAGGTCTAAACCTTACTAGTGTTATACAACGCAGTCAGTCCTTTCTGATAAAGAAACAACCATCTACCAGGATTAATATATAATTATCATACTGTGCCAAAAAATAAATAAGATATTCTGCTCTTACGAAACAAGGAAAAGACGACTGCAATAATTGAGATAGGAGTTCCCAGCTATGACAATATTCAAAAAGTGGTTGGAGAAAATATGAGAAAATACCAAAAGAACTGTGAGGAATTGAAACACCTCTTCAGCCTAAAACAAAGAGAGGTATTCATCATTTCAAGCAACGGATTGGTCTCAGAGGAAACCATAAAAACTTGTAAAGAACTGGGACTCCCTAATTATATCCTAGAAGAATGTCAGGAAGCTGTGCTACTATGATAATCAGAATTGTTTTAAATATTCCATAAACAGAGCTTAACTCTTGACTTATTGAACCCGGGTAGGTGAATATAGCAATGACTGAGAAAATTCTGATAATAATATTGGTAGTATGGAGGAAAGGACAAACCCTGTGTAACTTAAACCTGTGTCTTCAAAGCTGAAAGAGAATATTACTACGGCGTAAATTGTACCATTTTAACGAGGTTAACGCTAAGCTTTAATTATGGCAAATAAAGGCCAAAGATTTGGAACTCTTGAATAATTGAAAGATTGAAAATGGCCAAAATTTCATAGGTGCTGAATCTAATACCAAAAATTTCTAAATAATTCCAATTACCTAAAAGCGTATCGCTATATAACGATCTACATGTGCATCAAAGACAGACTATTGAAGAGAATGGTGCTTTCAAACTGCATTTTTAGTATACTTTCTTGGTCCGAACTCTACTGGAGTGGATGCCAATTTATTCGAGAACAGCTGACTATTGAAAAGCGGATAGAATTATTAAATATAAAATTATGTTAAGATAAAATACTTGATTATTTTAAGAAATATATCAAAAACGTTGTTGGAAAAGGTCATATAACACAGTATGAGAGAATAGCACTGTTTGAGAATGTTCATCCTAGTGTGACTACAGACGACATTATGAAATTTGCAAGGATTGTTAGATGAGATAATGCATATACAATCATGAAATTATCTGTTTCGAGATTATGATGGTTCGATAATGACACTGTAAATTGTTTTTTAAAATTATACATGAGTATATTTGATCGGCTCCTCTCCTTCATTATGTCTATTTGTAAGCATATTAAGCTGCTAATGATGTGAACCGAAGGCAAAAGAGGACAGATTTTATCAGAAGCTTATAGCTATCCTGTGATGGCTTCATGTGCCATATACGAAAATGGTAATAACGAGAGGTTTGCATACTTCTTTTATAATTATAGCCTTATCAAACTACTATGAATTTTTTATATTCACTACATGCCTAACAATATAAAAAATAAATTTGAATTACCCGACCTTCTGCAAGGTAGACGTAATTTTTTTGTGTGCTAATTTGACTGGGCCATATCCGTTCTCTGGTGCTGACGACTAAGCGAAGACATGGAAACTATAAAATTAAATATATCAACGTCCATGAAAGTCGGTGTAAGAACTGAACAAGACAAAATATTAGTGACAAAAATGGCGTCAATTTCTGTTAAATAGGTGTAAAAGGGAATTCGTTTAAGCATGAAGAAAAGTTCAGGTATTTAGGATCTAAGATAACAAGAAAAAACGAAATTGAAGAGAAAATTAAAGGTAAGTTTAAGGCGGGAAAAGCTATTTTTCTGTTATCTGCCAGTTCGCGTCTGTTGTCTGCCGAAACTTTTAAATTAGTATTTACAGAACTATTATTCTTCCTACGGTTCTTTATGGATGTGAAACGTAATTAATTAAAAAATTAGTAACGTCTTGTAAGAGGTTTTTGAAAAAAAAAAAGATTTTATAAAATTTTCGAACCGAAGAAGGATTAGTCAACCGAATAATTTAAACGGTTACGCAGCTAATATAATATGAGAAGTTACGTTGCGGCGAATAAAGTTGGCATGCAAAATTGCTAGGTATAGTAACGAAATAATTCCAGAAAGGTTAATATGGATTGGGAAATGTCCGAAGAGCAGACCAAAGCGAAGGAGCGAGGATTGCGTTAGGGTGGATCTGGTGGGGTATGGTTTGAAGGACCACCAGTGGATGGAAGGGTGTAGCCCTTATTAAATTTTGGATAATATCAGTAATTTCATATAGAATCGCTGGTAAATATTAGTATTTTTGAGTTATGTCACTTTGCATATGTATAAGCGATGATTTATTTTCTTTTTAGTTAAAATTAATGTAGGACAGATTGGTCTTAGCAGTGGCTTCCTTTTACTTTCAGCGACTGTAAGTTTTTTGTAGAGTTTTTAGTAGAGTAGAGTTCCCTATTACACTCCGCACCACTTTGTTATGCAGCAGTTAGCAGGGGAGAACCCACTCACTAGCAGTGGACAAACCACAAACCGAAAATTACTGCTGCATTGTACTTCCACAACCACATCGGTCGTAATGCCAGTCTCGTTACGCTCAGGCAAAGCTTTTGTGGAGGTAATTATCGTTGGCCTGCGAATGTTTTTTAATGGGATTCCTTCATAAAGGGAAAGAGTTATTACAAATTGGATGGCCATTAGATGGGCGGTCTGCAGATCTTATTTCTAGCTTTGGTGATTTTTGTCGATTACTGCACTACTTTCATGTGCCGTTCATTGTAAATTGTTTACACTGCTATCGCTACAATTGAAGTTTAGGCGATTGGCTAATCCCACGTTCTCATTAAATAATGATTATTTTTTTAATCAGTTTATATTTCGTTAAATAAAAATAAACATAATGATGACCGAAATAAATAAATGTAATGATATTTCGGTACTAAATTAATAGAAACAGGATAAAATAAAGTTTGATATCAGTTTAAACAGTTTTTGTATAAGTAACATAATTGAATGAAAATCATTACAAATACGCAATAGGCTCCAGCAGCCCCAGTTATTATTATTTTTTTAGTAATCAAACTTTTTTCCCATTCGGATATCATCGGGGAAATTCGTTCATAAATTATTTTTTTGTGAGAAAGTGAATTGTATGGTCCAGCACGGTATATTTAGTTACACAACACTTGTGCAGTGCTAGATATTACTATTCACAATCAGCTTAATGGTTTTATACTAACAAAATATATGGTTCATGAAGAGCGAACTATTTGAATTAAATTATATTGAATTATTTGAATAAAATAAACTTATTATAAAAGTACATCAGTGTGTACGATTTGTTACCATTCCCCCTTGAGGTGTGATTATATTTTGGTACAGAATAGTTATTAAAGCTGGTTCCCACACCACTCTTCCAGTCCGGGTGCCCGTGCAAAAAAATTTACATTTTGAAAAAGCCTTTTGTTGAATGTTCATTATATTTTTTTTATTTCTTAATGATATTTGGAACTTTATTAAAGAAATATATTTAGTAAATTCAAAGAGGAAACAAGGTTGGGCCAGATCTGAAACATTAAGGTCATTATGGATTGTTTTATTTGTAACAATGTAGGGAGCATTGAGGATTTTACGAAGGAGCAATTCGATGGTTCAGTGGAGCCCCTTTGCCCAACTCCGTAAGTTCAAATAGGCCTTATTATAGTCATGTATATGAGTCTTTTGTAATTAATTGGAAGTTCAGGGCATTAGTCTAGTAAGTGCTGAAGTAACCGGAAACGTCGAGCGGTTTCTTGTCGTTTAAGTCTGATATAAGGATTCCAAGTTAATATTTAAATTTTAAAAAATAGAGTTTCCCTGTAAAATCATTCTGTCTGAAAAAATAGCGACTGATTTAAGTAATATAACGCCAGTAACTTGAGAATCGAAACGGAAAATGTATTGCGACAGATCTGATAAAAGCTTTTATTTTTATAACTTGTATATCTGAGATAAACATGTAAACAACAAAATTTCTAACGCGGGCCTCCAAGGAAAAAAAAATCCGAAAAACAAGATTTTTCGTTTTTTTTTTTTTTGTTAGTTTTTATGTATAACTCTTAAACGGCAAACCGTACGTAATCCTTAAGAAATTAAAGAACGTTTGTTTAAATTGAATTGTACGTCACATGAGTACGTAAACTTAATACTTTGGTTAAGTGGTATGGTTGAAAACCGCAGTCAACGAACGCTCATTTATACTAAATTTGTCAAAAATCGTGACAATTTACTATTAATAGTCCAACAGCTTGGAAATGAATTTGTGTTCCACCCGAAGATTACCGATTTAGGAAGGAGTAAGTGACCTACATTAAAACTGTTGGTGGTCAGTGGTCGTACAATGCAATGCTCTACAACTGTTATTTTATCTCTTAGAAAAATCATTTCCAAGCTGCAGGGCCATTTATAGATTTTTTTTCAGTTTTTGACAAATTTGGTAAAATCAGCGTTCGTTGACCTTGTTTATCGATATACCACTTAACCAATTAGGTTCACGTACATATTACGAGTTTTACGACTATTACTAGTTTATGTTACCATTCAATGTCAAGAGCCTTCATTTCTATACTTATGCTAGCGTAGTCGAATTCTCTTCCACTATATGATGAAATTCGATCTGGTAACCGATAGAATTGAAACCTTGTTCGTAGAGTTCCTAGCACCGCCTCTGCCTAATGCTCGTGTACTGGGTATTCCACGGAGATCCATCATGGTAATCCACTTATACCTCTGCCAAGCGAAAGTGTCCTCCTTAAAGTGTCCCGTATTCCTTTTGGCGGATGTCGATCGCATTTTCTAGAATGGTAAATTTCGCACGCCCCAATAACCTTCTTAATTGTTGTCTTCATTCCCCACCAGAAGTATCTTTAATGCCTGTAATGTCTCGTACTTCCCGAGTTTTTCCTTGGCGATATGGTAGTGTAACATCTTGCTGCTGCGCCTCATCTTTCAGTGTTTCTACCATAAGGTTACACTGAATGAACGTTTTGAATAGTTGAACCAATCTGTTTGGCCCTCCGCAGCTTCTTTTACCGAATTATTGCGTTTCTCACGTATAAATAATAAATTTTTCCAACACCAGACGCATTGTTTAGTGTCTGGCGAATCTGGTCGTCTCTTTCTTCCAGTGCCAACCATATGGTAGTAATTTTACGCTTTGTAGATTCCGTCTCCATAAATCCCAAGGTCTTTGTTTTCCAGATAATCTGACGGTGATTATCGTTGATTATCACATCTGGATTATCAAACAATGGATTTCTCTTCCGTCGAACTATCTTCACTTGTCGACTTCTCCTCACCTTCGACTTCTAACGAACTATGTTCTCCTTCTCCTTCTGGTGTCCATTCCCGGTGTCCAAAATTGCTGCTCATCTCCGGGACAGCCAATCTGCTACGACGTTCTCTTTTCTCGGTGAGTATATTACTTCCATATTATGCTGGCTTAGGAGCTCTTTCCATCTGGTTATTCTCTCCGAAGACTCCTTCAGTCTTCCTACCCACTGGATTGGTCTATGGTCCGTGTGCACTTTAAATCCCCTGCAGAGTGGTCTAAAATGGTCCATGGCCCACAAGTAAATGGCCCAATCCCAGCATTTCCCGCAGTTCCCGCTCTAATTTTAAATTAGATTTTAATAATTAATTAATTCTATTAATTATTTAAATTCTATTTTCCGTATGTGTGAGACGCCTGCTGGCGTATGCGACGGGTCGTTCTCCTACTGACCTGCTAACAAAAAAAAACAAAAAAATATTTGGTTCTGACCCAACCTGGATTTTTCTATTCTAAATTGCCGTAGCCGGTTGTAAATACTCCGTGATTCTGTTACCCTAGGCCATCCAGAACCAGGCCTTCTATTGTAAGAACCAGTTTCCCAAAAAGGCCTGATGGCGTCTCGTAAAGTTTCATATGGAACTCCGATGGCATTAGCTGCATATCTAATGGAACGTCCATCATCAAGAAGTGCCACACCACGCGCAATATCCTCAGCACTAAGAGGCATTTTTAAACTTAATATTAAAAAAATTAAAAGCCGGAGACTAAGAAATGTGCTGCAAGAAATGGCACTGAACTAATGATACTGAATAAACATTTTGATTTCATAGAAAGTAAACATTGGAATCTAGAATCATTTCATTGAATTAAGGATTAAGGGTTATTGTCCTCTATATTAACATTCCTAATTGAAAACAAACAAAAAGATTATCTATTTATTCATTAAAAACAATAGACCAATCCAAAGCAGAAATATTTTTAAACATGAAAAAATCAAGTGGGTGGAATTTTTTGCCTGTCAGTGTGTGTATATATATATATATATATATATATATATTCCATTGGAACCATAAAGAGACCATAAAGATCTTTGGTCTCGAGATTTGGTTGTAATATATGGATATATATGTAATTACTTATTTAAAACAATATATTGTACAAATTATATTTCACAGCTATTAAATCACCAACATTAATTGGCAGATCAATGGGAGAAGGGAGCTTTCGAACTGAAGGCCTCCCTCCTACATGCAATTTTTTTTCATTGCTTCATAATTGTTTCTGTTTTCGATCTGATTTAAATTCATAAACAATCAAAGTATATATTCTTTTATAATAATACGTATATATTTCAGCTACTAAATATAAAAACGTGGTAAGGAAAAAATATAAAAATTATCCCTTGCATTATTATGTTATGTTTGCAGGGCTTAAAGCACCATTTAACATTATTTTACGTAGTTTCTTTTATATTCTTCAATAACAACTACAGTGATAATAATAAAAAAAAGTATCTGTTACTGCTCACATTAGTTGATTCTCAATCTTTCAGTGCCTCAGATTAGAGACTCGAAAAACAAGCAGATGATTCCGGAATTCCCAAAAGTAAAAACCACAGGATTACAAGATTGCTACTTTGATAAATTATATAAGAGACTGTTTATTGGAGAAGCATACTTTGACCCTCTGAAGTACGCTTTAAAGCAAAAGTAAGCATCTTATATATATATATATATATATATATATATATATATATATATATATACAAATATTGAACCTGATAACTATTAACATTACGATTCTATGTTTAGTTTAAAAAACATAAGCATAACCATTGCTATGTATTGAACGTAGCCTAATGGTAATTGATAATATTTAAAGAAAAAATAAAGTCAACCTGGGCGGGTACCTGAGACAACCTAGCAACCTTTTGTAAGTGTCAAGAAAACACGCAAGAACACCCAAGGACACCGTCATCATAATTACGTGTGAAAGTGGTTTCCTAGATAGTGGTCGGAATACCTGACACCCCCAGCAACCTTTTAGCAGGGGCAATAGGACACAGGTCGGCCAAAAACACCAAAGGACCAGTCTTATGTTTAAAGAGGATCAAAAAGCTTTTAACTCTATGCAAAGGAAGAAACCGTCGTGTGCCTGCTAAAAGGAGTGTGTTCAACATTAACACCTTCGCGAAAGAGGTATACCTGCTTGCCGGAAAAAGAGAAAGACCTAATATATACCTGCTGGAATATCTTGGCCTGGAGGAGAGGGTGTGGTCATCCCTTATGCTAGGAAAATTCAACCAATGGGAACCATTCTTGCCCCACCCTAGATATTAGAATAAAATCCACAGAGATGGATGGAAGAAGAGTCTTTTGGTCTTACACCACTGCCCGGCATAGAGAAGAAATCTTTTGGTCTTACGCCACTGCCCGGCATTGAAAAGACGTCTGATGGACTACCCGGCATAGAGGAGAGATCTGATATGGAGAGCCGGCTTGGAGTCTGAGGTTTTCTTCTGGCTGGAGAACTGTTTTCTCCTGAAGCCCTACCTGAACAATGATGATCTCGACTTCGCAGATGCAGCGATGACATCTACCAAATCCATCACTTCGCATAACATAATAGATAAATTACAATTCATTTTAAATATTTCATGGCAATATAAATTTTCAATTCTGTCTATCTTAATCATGCCTTCACAACCAATTACTAGTCATAGATCATTAAGCATTAATTCTTGGACACACTGTATATACATACATATATATATATATATATATATATATTGTAATATATTTATTTTTTTTATTTTATCTCTCTGTCTGTTTGTCTATTATTGCCGACGTTTGTCTTTTAAAATCTGAAATCTGTCCTTCTAACCTTTAATCTTTCTGTTAGTCAATTAACCTGGTATTCGTGTATCTATTTAAGTTTGTAAGAATGGGGTGTACCAGCTTAGACAGGATGAGAAGGATAAGGTATATAAGGTAAGACCGCCAAGAATGATAGAGGGACAACCCCTACACATCCAGGGTTCTGCAACCGAGGAGGCAATCCCCTGACGTTGCGAGGATAGGATAAGGTAAGACCGCCAAGAATGATAGGGGGACAACCCCTACACATCCAGGGCTCTGCAACCGAGGAGGCAATCCCCTGACGTTGCGAGGATAGGATAAGGTAAGACCGCCAAGAATGATAGGGGGACAACCCCTACACATCCAGGGCTCTGCAACCGAGGAGGCAATCTCCTGACGTTGCGAGGATAGGATAAGGTAAGACCGCCAAGAATGATAGGGGGACAACCCCTACACATCCAGGGCTCTGCAACCGAGGAGGCAATCCCCTGACGTTGCGAGGATAGGATAAGGTAAGACCGCCAAGAATGATGGGGGGACAACCCCTACACATCCAGGGCTCTGCAACCGAGGAGGCAATCCCCTGACGTTGCGAGGATAGGATAAGGTAAGACCGCCAAGAATGATAGGGGGACAACCCCTACACATCCAGGGCTCTGCAACCGAGGAGGCAATCCCCTGACGTTGCGAGGATAGGATGAGGTAAGACCGCCAAGAATGATAGGGGGACAACCCCTACACATCCAGGGCTCTGCAACCGAGGAGGCAATCCCCTGACGTTGCGAGGATAGGATGAGGTAAGACCGCCAAGAATGATAGGGGGACAACCCCTACACATCCAGGGCTCTGCAACCGAGGAGGCAATCCCCTGACGTTGCGAGGATAGGTAACCCTACACTCCCAGGGACAACCTGGAAGATGCAAGGGGGACTGTAGGAAAACAAGGGCCAATTAAGTTATTCCTACGAAAGGAGAGAGGAGGTAGGTTAGGAGAGAAGAGAGAAGGAGGAAGGTAAAACCAAAAAATAACACATTGGTCTGGTTTCAAACTGTCAGACAGAGAGATACCAGGAGCCTATGTGAGAAGGTAGTGACTCGAGAGAGTAGAGTGCCTGCCCTAGGAACCAGGCCAGTATTTAAACTAATAACCAGCCCTCAGACCTGTTTTCAGGTTGGTGAGAGGCTACACTAGTAACAATTATTTTAATTAGGCCCTGAGATCTCTAAGTCCAAACTCTTTTTATTTTTATTTAATTATAGTACATGAATACTTATTTTAAAAATATTACAAACATTAGTTATTTACAGAATCCGTAATTACAAAAAGAAATAATAAATAGCTTCAAAATGAAATTCATAGTTCACTAGGAAATTAACAGGTTGCGCTACTAAAATTATTAATCATTATTAGAAAAAACAATGACTTGCATAAATTAATTAAATTGTTCATTAGAACAACGCCTAGAGGGCGCCACGCGCAACCTCCAAAACACTATACCACTAGTCATTTACTATTCAACCTTTGACAGAGGACCTCCCGTCCGTTAGCTCTAATACATCGTACCTTTTAATCTTGATCGCTAGTTAAATGTTATTATTGTTTTTACAATTTTAAATTAAATCACAACTAAAATTAATACAATATCTAGAAATAAATTAAATTTATAAATATATTACATATAAATGCTCCTTTTCATACAGTTCAAAAATAATAAAAGAACAAAACATGAACATGAGTTCTATTAACAATTACAATTTATAAAGGCCCTAATAAAATATGTTACAATATATATATATATATATATATTATATATATATATATATATATATATATATATTAATTATATAATTTGTAAATAAATATAATTTGTACATAGAAGTTATTTTAATCACAGGTAATTAGAGAACAGATAAACACACAACAAGCCTTTGTGAGAAGTAATCCAATAAATTAATCATGGACCAGTATGTTAAATAACATAATTTGTTTAACCAATATTTTATTAATTGATTCATATTAAATAATTCTAGATAATTATCCTCAACAGTGGCATCCCGATAAAATTCAAAAACCAAACGGCACGTGGAACCATAGTACCTATGAATGTTAGATAAATCAATCTAAAAATAATAATTATGAAAAGAAATAATTCTTGTTTAATCGTAACAATAAAATATTAAATAATTTTAAAATTTGTTGTAGATTGGAAGAGGGAAAGAAAATAAAGGGTTTATTCCGACCAACTTCCTATACTCATCTGCAGGCCTGTCGAGGTGACTTCTTTGGTTGCTTTACAACATCAATGAAAGGTAAATCCTAAAAAAATAGCTTATAATTTAATTTAGCCTTGTGCAAGAATACTACTTTTCAAATAAAACAAAGCGAGTTGGGTATCTTGAGCTGTTCTTTCAGTCTATGTCAAGGCAAACTTTTTCTCCCTAAAAATAACTTGGGTATATTATTTGGTAATGGTTCATAATTTGTCTCTCTCTATCCTCGCCTTTTAGACTATACGGGTTTTTTATTGGGTTAGGGAAAAAGATAAGGGATTAATGTCTGTGGAATTGCGTTTAATTTTATTTATTATACATATAATGTATCACTCAATATAGCTCCTGTATCACTATTACTAACGTCCTTAGTCTCAGCAAAATGTAATATAATTCAACAAAGAAAATGTTTAAAAAAAAGAACTGTGGTAAAACAACTATCCGAAATTTAAAATAACACAATGTTGCTCAGTTACTGATCTGATTATTTAAATATCTTCCAAATACAGTATTTTAAAATTTATTTTAATATACATAAAAAAAGCACCTTGGTACGTGACTAACGAAACTCTACATACCACCCATAACCACCTTTTATCAACAATTTTACTCTAATTTAAACGGACGCAATATCAGACTAACAAGAGACATGGCTATAGCTGACATACTCCAAACATGAGGAGGAGACTAAAAAGGCATTGGGTGGAAGATCTTCTGCCTTGAACAACTTGAATAATCGAAACAAGTCAGAGAAGAGATGCTGCTGAGTTATTTCCTTCCCCATGTCTGTCATGTCATTATTTCCTTTATTTCCAGCACATTTCTGAGTGTCAACAAAAAGTTGATAGGCGCTAATACATTTTTTTTATATTTTTAGCAAAAAAAAATGTATATAAGATTGTGTAAATCACTAAATTGTTGGTTCAACATAAAGAGTAAAGTATATTTAAATTCTCTGCGATTATTGGACTGAAATCAGGACCTAGAAGCTATGCGTCGAGTTTCACCTTCACATCTCTATTCTATTTCGAATATTATAGAAAAATTTAACTGTTTGAATCATTCTTTTGTTATGCATAAGTTCTCTTAATTACCTCCATCTGGAATGTGTCGGTTAAAAAGTGGATGATGACCAAAAAAAGTTTATTTGCCAAACATTATGTATGATAGAGATTCATTTATCAGTTAGATCCAAAGTAGAAATAAAGAAATTAATGACTTTCCTGCCATTAAAATATGCATAAATACTTTCTATAGCGAACAATTTATGTTTAGCAGAAGTATAGCAAATAACCCAAAGATTGATAACATTTGAAAATCCGTCAATTGGAGAATAATTTTTGAATTTTACATTTTGTTATAGCTCTAGTATTTTTGTTATTGTAACTAGTGTGTAACGCAACTATTTCAGGACAAAATGTGTACAACGTTCAGTTAAAGAATAACAATGTGATACTTTTTAACATGATATATTAAAAAATAATATATTTGAAAACTAATAATTTATAAAATAAGAAACTGTTATATAAAATAAGAAAAATGAAAAACTGTTTTAACGCTCCTAGCAACAATAGAATTAATTATTTTGATTAAAATTTTGTGTTTTGTACATTTCTACCGTCCCATTGTCAATTACTTACATGTTAGAAAAAAGAAAATTCCGTTTCTACATCTTCTGTATTGTTTATATGAGCTTAAAATTTTGATACATCATCCACATCACATTTTTTTTTTTTTTTTAGAATCCATTGTTGTATTTTAATACAATTTTATAACTACTTTTTTAAAAACGTTTTTCTAATTCTGTACTTTTGTTCTTTTGAGCAACCACCTTCTTTTAAAGCCTCTACTAATTATGCAAATTTATTAAAATTTCCTGAATATACAGTGCAATTCAAATCTGGTTATTACTGCTTTAGAAGGGAGTTAGAGAAAAGTTATAACTATTCTCCTCAAAACATTAAATGTGATTTTATATTTACTAAAAATGAATAAAAAACAAAACAGTTATGTGCTAAAAGTCCTTAAAATGTACGAATTTGTTCAATAACCTCAAAACTGGTAGTTTCGTCCAAAGTAAAAATAGTATTAAAAAATGTATTCTTCGTGAATCGAACTATTCTCGTTGTTTGGCTGAATTTGAAGCTTACGATAAAAAAAATGCAACTGCATAAAAAACTGGACTCTAATTATAAGATTGAATTCATTATTCTGCAATCAAAGATTAAATATTTGTAGTTGGGTGTGAAATTAAGGTGTGAAGTACGTAAGGAAGTAGAATATTTATTGCCCAACTATGCGTTTACGTTGAAGAATTTGTTTTATTGGCAATATCTTAATATTCCAGTATGTCCATTAACGTTAAATAAACCCTTTAATAATAGAACCGTCAGGAACTAATATAGGACCTTTAGAAGGAACAGCCTCTGAAACAACAGTTTTGCGGCAACACAATACTTATTTTCAACCGATTAGGAATTTATTGATCCAATTTTATTTTTCCCACTGAGACGCCTGTGCAGCAGTGTCCATCCTCCGCAAGTTCGATGGCGCAAGAACCTACTCCCTCACCCAAGATATTTCATTGCACATCTTCTTTTAAAAACAAAGCAAGGGATTAGAAAAATGATAGATCATACACAATTATACTTGCTGCTGTCTATTCAATGTTTTCTCCTTGTCCCTTATTATGAAAATTTTCATTCCAAAAATTCGGTTAACATGTGCCACCTCAAAAATCCGAAAAAAGTATTTATATTTACACTCTCTCAAAATTTTTGGTGGCACAACTTGCGCCATAAAACTCTCTTTTGGGCACCCCTGCGCCTGTGTGAAAAAAACAAAACAATGCTGCAAATTATGCTAAAGCTTGTGGAAAAAGAAATTGAATTTAATCCAGAAAGATAATTTCAAAACTTTTTTTCAATTGGGACATGGTAAAAATAGAAATAAAGTTAAATATGTTAGGTATGAATTCAAGCCGTCTATACTACCGAAAATTTGAATTAAATATTCAATTTTTAATTGAAAAATCAAAACAATTTTAATTGTAACAAACATATCTTACGAATCAGACCAAAAAGAACAAGGTTTCAAATTGAAGAAATATGATGAATAAAAAAAACATATTGTTAGTCTAAATGACCCACATGTTCGTAAAATTCAAGTTATGGCTGTATAAATGCCTCAACCTAGTATAGATAATATTCATCATGTACATATTTTCTTGTTTGTGCATTTGTCTATATTTCTGAAATGTTTTTTGTATTTTTATTATTAAATTTTACTTAAATTGTAATAGTTAACTTTTCTTCTTGCAATTTTAACGTTTTATATTATAGTAATATAACCTTTATATTTTAACGTCCGAAATTTGTAGTAAAGAATTATAAAATTGTATTTTGAGCATTCGTAGTCGTAGTAGTACTACTAATTCATTCATAATATTTATTTATTAACAAAAATATTATTTTCAGCTTTCGACCCTAGGACTAGAGGTGTTACCAAGGCAAAAGTTGGTAAAGATGCCATAAAAAAATTCCTCGAGTTCATTCCTTCTAGTCCAGGGAAGAAAGGTGGATACGGATATCTAGATACAACAATCAATCCATACCCAAAATATAAGTAAGAAACGTTAATATATCTAAGTTTTTTTATTTTTTCTGTATTTGTTTTAGAGTATGGGCTGGATGGGCTGCCACATTTCATATTGCATCATCAAAAGCTCCATTTTTTACTATAAATATTATATTAATTTATTTTATATAAATATGATCGGAATTTGTTTAATTAATCATAGTTTCTGTTTCAATCTTATAGACTCCACTCATCTCTATAATACAATACTGTAAAGATAGTTGAAAAGACCTTCATTATAAAGTGGCTACGGCAATTAGAGTTCTTAAAAAGATTACATTTTACACACGAGGTCTGTGGGTGTGTGAATAATAGTATTCACATTAAATATCATTTCTCCTTTTCATAATCCTTGATCAAATGGAAACTTCCAGGAACACTCTGGTTCTATACATGGATCTGCAAATCAACGTCTCTCAGTTTAGCAAGGCTGTTAATTTCTCGAAATTTCCTTTAAGTCCCCCTCTCTATGCTGTCATTTGCACTTCTGAAGTAAACGAAAATTGGTTCACGGGTAATTTACATTCATGACCTCTCTGCAAAAGTTCTGAAGGAGATGATTTGATCAGTAGTGATCCAGACTTGAGGCAAGCGAACCTGTTATATTTCATTTTCTCTATAAACTTATATGTCCCATCTGTTTGGGAGATGATTGAGGGAACTATTTAGGCATACAAGAGCAAAGGAAAGAAGATTCCAGTTGGTCTCCCCTTTTCTGTAAAAGAAACAGCTACTTATGATGATGTATTTTCCCACTGCGTGAATACGGGATTCTCCCTTGAATACGAGATTCTACGGGATTCTCCCCTTTTTCGATATCTACTCAACTGTTTTTTCTCCTTTACTAAGAGACATTTAAAATATCTTACGAAACGGTCAAGTTTGTTCTCAAAGAACGTAAGCATACCAGACTGAAACGACAAGAAACCGCTCGACGATTCCGATTACTTCAGCACTTACTAGACAAACGATCTAAACTTTCAATTAATTACAAAAGACTCATATACATGACTATAATAAGGCTTATTTGGACTTACAGAGTTGAGTTATGGGGCTCCACTAAACCATCGAATTCCTCTCGTATTCAATTATTACAATCCAAAATCCTTCGTAAAATCCTTAATGCTCCCTACTTTGTTACAAATAAAACCATCCATAATGACCTTAATATTTCTTTTGTTTCAGATCTGGCCCAATCCAGATACTTATTCTTTCATAATAAACATAAGAATCAGCCCAACCCTCTCGTTTCTAACCTTCCTTCCTCTTGAATTCCTGATAACCCTCCGAGGCGTCTGAAAGAAGATGGCCCCGTGATCTCCTAATGTAGACATATCATTAGAGTGCTACCATTGGGTAGTTACTCAGCAAGTGCTTTCATGTCATTATATCCATATGTTCAAATTTACTAGGTGTATTAATATAATACAGTTGTAAATATCATTAAAAATAATAATAAAAAAAAGAAAAAAATAGAATGTAAGTGGAACATCTCCCTTATTTCAGATTGGTATCAACAGTGTGAGGAGTTTTCTTCTATCATTCAACTGGAGAAACGTTTTTCTCACATTACCATTTAGGAGATGCTGCGATTCTTCAAGCCACTTTTTCTTAAAAGTCATTTTCTCTTTTTCGCTGGAACAGATCAATGTTATTAAAAATCGTTAAGTTGACGATGTTTTACTTTACTTGGTAGTTTTAGTGTAGTGAATCAAATTTGTAAATATATTCGTTCGTTAATTTAAACTGACTTAAATTTGATATGAATAATTTTGTTTCCATTTATTCTAAATTGATGTGTGTTTAAATTTGGTGATTTGCAGCATAATTGAACTACATTCATTCAAAACAGAAATTCAAAACAGATAAAAAAAATAGTGTAACGGATTAAGAAAAAAAATTCCATAACTTTTTTTTTTTTTAATCTTTTTATTGAGAAATAATACATTTTGCCACATTTAAGGGTACTGAGTACTAAATCTGAGTGAGGCTCATTCATACTATATATACAATGCAATAAAAAAAAAATATATAAATAAATAAATATATATCTATATAACTAAGGTAAAAACTATAAAACTAAAGAAATGTAACTTGAATTCAAATTAAAAAAAAAAAAATAATAATAATAAAACAAAAAAATACAAAAATTGGTAGCAAATTAAATAAGTCATAAGTAAAACAAATAGATATATAAAAAAGAAAAACATTCATACTTAATATATAAAAAAGAAAAACATTCATACTTAATATATAAAAAAGAAAAACATTCTTACTTTATTTACAATCAGCCAAGGGAGCTCCGAGTACAGACAGCTCTTTCCTCCACGTGTGAAGGACAAAGCGAGACTCTAAGAGATCCCAGCGCTTCTCTCTCAGCTGCGTCACCGGCAGGAGTCCAGTGGAAACTGAGAGAGGGCATTAAAGCAACAGGCGCTCATGACGTGATTGGAGAGGCTGGCCATTGCTAGAACTCCAGTGACAGTCTTTACAAAAGGTTTCGAGGCCACTGCCGTTTCAACCTTCGAGGAGGGTTGTAGGGGTGACTGGAGCTGGATAAGGATTGTGCTAAGGAGTTAGGATGGTGGATTAGGTTCACATGAAAATTTGAGAATCGAGATGGGATAACGTCAAGGACATAAGGGATGTAAAGGTCATGATGTAGGGTTTTGTTTGTAACATAATAAGGAGCATTGACTATTATACGGAGGACTACAGGAGGTTGAGTATGCTGTTCTAATTCTCCTAACATTTGAGCATAGGAGACTTCTTTGTTTGCAAATCTTGAGGGTTGCCTTGGTGGTCTGGGAGTCCTGGAAGTCTCTTCATGTCTAGGCGCTGTCTATAATCTTGATTTTAAGATTTTATATGTCTGGCATCCTTTGTAATTTGCTGGGTGATCTTTATGGCATAATGCGCACACAGCAGGAGTTTGCCTGGACTTATTGCAATCTTCCGACTTATGTTGCTGCCCGCACTTCACGCATCACGGTAAGCGGTGGCAATAGCTTTTAGTATGGCCATATGATTGGCAATTATGACATTGTACTATTTCCCGTTTTGCATACGGTTTTTCGACAACTATGTTAGTATAGTACAGGCATCTTAATTTATAGATGTTTTCGACTCCACTGGTGCGCTCAAGGTCTACGAAAAATAGTGGTAAGGCTATTTTGTTGTTTGCACCTTGTTGCTCTTTATTATCTCTATATACATTGACAATTTGGCGGACACTGAAACCAAGTTCTGTCAATTCTTTGATTGCCTCAGGTGGAGTTGTTGGATGGAGGCCTCTTATAACCACTATTAGTGCTTTCTCTTGAAATAATTGATAAGTATGGAATTCCGCCTTTGTATATGTCAAGTATTTTACTATTTTTCTATATGATTCAGGAGAATCTGGCATCAACTTGGTGTCATTGGTTCGACTTTGACATGTGTATTTACCATTGTTAAGTAATTTATTTAAATGCTGGCAAAATAGCGGAAAATTGTTTATGTTTCTTATGAATATTGGAGGTGTTTTTGGCTCTCTGGGGGTTGATGGTATTTCCATTGTTTCTTCTACGGTATTAGATAGTTGTTGGTAAGGGTTAACAGTAAAAAAAGGTGATTCTTCAATTACATTTTTTGTTTCGGTGGTCATAATTTCAGTTGATGTACCGGCTTGAGGGTCATCATTTGGTCTATCAGGTGTAGATGGTGGTGTTTTTCTGTTAGAACGCCTAGGCTTTTACAGGGTTTTACTGGTGAATCACGAGAGCTATTGTTGCCTAAGCTTCTTGATCTTTTATTCTTGCTAGACGTTATCATTTGATAATATCGGATATCATGTCAACGACTATTGGGAAAATTTTTATTTTTTTTTTATATTATATGACCTAGCTTACTTAACAGCTCGACAGACACTGCTCGACAGAGCAGGTAGAGTATAAGTCTACCTGGCCCTAAGTGGGGGGACTATAGAAATGGCCACTCTTATCTAATTCTATGGTTGTTCAAACTTAATAAACAAGCGGTTACTCACCGTGATGTTGGTTCTATTTAAGAATGTACTATATAATTGTTCAATAGCTCTATTTTTTAACACAAATGTTCACTAATTCACTGGTAATTATGATAATTGTGAGAGACGATGTAGCAGGTGGGTTGAAAGATACTAGCGCATGCGCAGAACTGCCAATGCCATAACTAATTCCATTAACCATATTTGTTTTTCTTTCCCATAGATCATCTCCTTATGAAATGAAAATAACTAAACAAGCGCTAGACCCTAAACGTAAAGTGGTGAGCTGGCTGCCTCCTTCTCCTCCCGGTTTATTTCAGAGCTATTACACATCAAGCACAGGCTACATACGAACGGTCCCTGCAGTCTGGTCTTTGAGCGGTCTCTTCAGGCCACCCAATCCGACCAAGAGTGTGAGTATATATTCTCTATTGAGTATGCACAAGATATAAGTATAAGTCCACCCCAATTTGATTACTCAGAACATTAAAGTTTTCACAAGTACATGAGATGAAAGAGGTTGATCACATATAATGGCATGCAACAAGAGGGGGGGGGGAGATTTGGAGCTGCTTGACGCTATTTGACAAATAAATCTTGCATTGTCGGTTATTAAAACAATTTCTCTTTTAACGTTCACGCTTACATTAAGTAACATAGTTCCTTTCTAGATCATTCTCTTTGTACCAAGATTTAGAAGCCGCCAATGTGGGATAATTACAAGAACGGGACGTTCATAAGTTAACGATGGGAATAAGCATACTATAACATATTAAGATCCTTTTCATACACTTGGTGGAACATATCCACACATCACATCTTCCTGGATACTCATCTAGCTTTTCTAAAAGATGATTTTTTATTCTGAGACTATTTCTAACAGAGAGTGAAGTTGATCCTCCAAACTCCTGATATTATATGAACTTTCGTTGACAGACAAAAGTCGGGCGTTTGCCCAATTCTTATCTTCGGTCGACTACGGTACCAAAATAGCTCCAAATTTTATTATTTTTTTAACTTTAAATATATGGTATGGGGTATGTTTTTTTGTTTTAATGAATTTTTATATAAATCAGGTTTTGATAATCTGTTTATTTGATTCTCTTAAAAGATACTTCAACTTGCGATGGGTAGCTTTAATATCAAATGAAGGTGACTTCATAATGAACTGTTTGCAAATAACTTCCTACTCTAAAAATCTTTGTAGTTTATTAGAAAATCCATGTAAATTATGTAAGCCCATCCAAAATTATACAATACGAATCTGAATACAAATCGGAAAAATCAATGATGGACTGATGAAGAACTTCTACTACTTGCTATGGACGAGGTTCAACTCCTATCTCATGGACGTACGTTTCGGCTCGACTGGTCAACATGCAAGCCAATAGAACTGCCGGTAGTCTAAAATGGGCTAGGAGGAAAATTAATTATCATATTATCCGCCAAAGAATCCTGGCCGAAGTAAACGAAGAGCAATGAATCGCGAAATAACCGTAATCAACCATGAAAATACTCCAGAAGTAGCCTTCCTAGAGGCGGCTGAAGCTACTCATAACAACATCGACAATCCTAATCCTACGGTGCTGTCCATTATAAAATTGGCAAAATATGGCAAGGATATGACAGATCACCTACCGACCTGGATCGAATCTGTTCTACTTGGATGGGAAGATACTAGCGCTAAAACCCATCGTAACATTTCTACAAATAGACAACTTCCAGCAGATGCCGGACAACGAAGAAAGCAGCAGTTTAAACGAATACAAAGGATGTGGCTATCAAAAAGGTAAAAAGTTGTAAACGAAATACTTGATGGGGCCAAAATTAAAGGGAAACACGGCATCAAGGAGCTGGAAGCATATTGGAAAAATTTAATAGAAACAGCATCCTGTCCCGTTATCCCTAATACAGCAGTTCCTCGCAATCGTTTGTTCACGTAGTGGCTGCCCGTGACAACAGAGGAGGACGATGGACGATTCACACACAAAAATAGAAAGATTTATATATAGCTTCCATTGACATAACTAAGGCTATTAGCCACAATGCGTTATATCAAATATTGGAATGGAAAGGGATACGAACAGGATTTATTCAATATATTAAAATTTTATACCAGAAAGGCTATACTCGAATAACCCATAGCAGTCAATGGTCCGAACCCATAATTTGTAAAAGAGGAATCAGACAAGGGGATCCTCTCTCACCGTGTCTCTTCAACTTGGCCCTAGGCTGAGTTATTTAATCTTTACCAGAAGGTATTGGATACAAAATGACGGGTACGGTGGTGAATTGTCTAACCTTTCCAGACGACATCATTATGATTTCATCCAGCTCGGACGAACTAAAGAAATTACTGATAAGGGCAAACGCATCGATTAATGAGCTTGGTATGAATATTATTCCTAACAAAAGCTTCACATTGTCATTGACTAAAGTCGTTAGGTCGAACAAAATGAAAGTGGAGGATAGACCTATGTTTGCCATAAATAATACTAATCTTAGGAGCCTGGGAATCAAGGAGGGATGGACATATCTGGGAGCAAAATTCAAAGCCAATTACTGGGATTCTATCAGCATAGCAAACGATTTTTTGTCCGCTTTGCAAAGGATTAAGGAAGCCCCATTGAAGTCCCAACAAAGATTGATTACTTTGCGAACGTACCTTATTCCAAGGTTTACCCCCGTGCTGACCTTAAGTTAGGATAAGGTTTCCGAGTTGGAGAAACTCGACATTCTGACGAGATTCGCAGTTCGAGAATGGTTAAAGCTACCCCAGGATACTCCCACCTCTCACTTTCACACATCGTGTTCCAGTGGTGGGCTGGGAATAACGAACTATTCTCTGACGAAGTCCTCAGTTAAACTCGGAAGGCTACGAAGAATGGAATTTTCCGGATGCCAAGCCGTGAGAGCTGCTTTTGGATCCTCCTACGTAGCTCAATTGATAAGAAAAATGTCTGTCCACCTAAGAAAAAAGGCATAAATCCTGGAAACGTCTGCAATCAAGAGCGGAACCAATCTTGGGCCATGAAAGTTTATGAGTGTGTCGATGGGAAAGCTCTTAGAGAGGCCGGTCTCTGTAGCCCTTCAATGCACTGGCTTTCGTACTACGCATCAGTAGCTAAAGGACGGGATTTCATTCAAAATGTGAAGACCTACATAAATGCGTTACCAACGAGAGTCAGAACGTCTCGAGGAAGAAGAGTCTACATGGAGACCCGATGCCGAGGAGGATGCTCTAACAACGAGACTGCAAGTCATGTCATCCAAACATGCTACTTAACCTATGGCAGGAAGGTGAAACGACACGATGCTATCGTAAATTTGTTAGAGGAAGCCCTCTGCAAGAAAGGTTATGAGGTAGAAAAAGAAAAAAACCTACATAGGTAGCAAAAGGAAGTGGAAACCTGATCTCGTTCTAGAATGAGAAAGACATTCGTAATAGATGCCCAGATCGTTGGAGATAATCCGAGTACCTCTTACTGGCGCAGAGTAAAGATCAATAAATACAAAGCCTTAGGCTGTAGAATGGCTATTGGTCGAACAATTAAAGTGTCATTGATGGACATTAACGTATATTCCTGTACTTTGACCTGAAGAGGGATATGGTGTAGAGATTTCATGCGAGACCTTTCATTATTGGGACTGAAAAAGAAAACGGTGAATCACATAACATCAAGTGTTCTGAAGGGATCGAACATGAATTATTACGGTTGGCATAAATTGTTATCCTGTTGAAAATGATAAGAAATAATATATGAGTTATTTTTTAGTTGGATGCGATATCATATATTCATCATCCCTGATCGGATTTTTTTTAGAAACTTTTATGTTATGATAATTGAGATTTTAATCTGATTTAATATAAAACGTTCAATATTGAATCCCACTTGTGCTTAAATAAGATATATTACCGAAAAAAAACATGTGTATGCTCTTAACTATGTATTATTTTATGGATATTGTGGATGTGTATGCGGTTGTAAGTAGGTATGCATATAAGTGTATGTATGAGTGGGCATGTGCGTGTGACTCTGTGAATGTATGCGTGTCTATATTGGGTCTGTATATATATATATATATATATATATATATTCGGAATATATATGACGCAGCAAATTATTGTATAAATATCTGCATAGTTTTTGATGAAAATCTTAATGCTTGTAAGACCTGGGAACTCTAACCCAGGATTTATCTTTATATTTTTATTTTGTTTTTTGCTTTTATTTTTATTGTTTAGTCTTAGTTTTTTGTTTCTTTTATGGTGAAGATAGCACCATGTTAAGGTAAATGGAATAGTGAATAAGAAAATTTTGTAAGTAAAAGAAAAGAAAAAGAAAACATGTATTTTCTGCCAAACAAAAAAAATAAATAAAAAAATAAAAACATTTGGTTTCATAAAAGATTCAAGACAGGCACTAAAAACTACAAGAATGAGACTCTTAATTTGTCCTCACAATTCGAAGGTACTATGATCCAGTTAAGATGGAGTAACTGGATCAAATATAATATCTGAAATTGGGACATAACATAAAATCAACAAAGATGTCGATGTAGTTGATCAATTATAAAACTTTTATAATATAGCTCCTCCCATAATAAGATTGCTCGTTGTTTGTTTCTTGCATATTGTTTGTTATTAAAAGGTTCTAAAGTTATTTTTAAGGAATATCTTCATAAAATGGAGAAAAATTTAACAATTGAGGAAATAATCTGCACTAAAACAATTAAATTTAATAAATTAATAGGTTGGTTGTTTTGATGTCATAGCCGCAAAACATCAAGGTCATCAGCGCCTTGTCCATTAAAATATTTAGCTGGTAGGTCTAACGAAAAAACAAAACAAAAATAAAATAAAATATAATACATAAGTAAAAATAATAGATAAAACAATATACATTAAAAAATAAATATAAAATATAATAATAATAAAATAATAAAATAAGGCTTAGCGAACCCGAAGGTTCGATGCCGACACCACCAATCGCTTGTTACACACCTCCCTCCACCGTTCGCCGTCCAAACCCAGTCCCTTCAGATCGGCTTTAATGCAATCTTCCCACCTTCGCTTCGGTCTACCCCTCGGACGCTTACCATTCGGCACAGCAAATATTAACCTTTTAGGAATTCTCTCGTTACTAAGCCCAACAACTTTACAAGCCCATTTGATTCGCCGCGATGAAATTACCTCAATTATATTACCCGGATACAGCTCACGCAATTCGGCGTTGTGTAACCGTCTGAACTCTCCGGTTAACTCATCCTTCTTCGGTCCGAATATTCTACGCAATACTTTATTTTCAAAAACCTTAAGACGCTGCTCATCCCTTAATGTAAGCGGCCAAGTTTCGCATCCATAAAGAACTGTAGGCAAGATAATTGTTTTATAGATTCTAATTTTTAAGTTTCGGGACAAGAGGCGCGAACTAAGTAGTTTTGTCACAGAAAAATAACAAGCATTCCCGCCTTCAGTCTAACCTTAATCTCTTCTTCAATTTCGTTTTTTCTAGTTATCGTAGAACCTAGATACCTAAATTTATCTACCTGTTCAAACATATTACCATCTATATCGATATCACCAGTAGTATCGCCATTTTTGCAGCTAACCATATATTTTGTTTTATCCACGTTTATTTCGAGTCCTAGTTCTTTACCGGCTTTCATTAACGTTGTCGTATTTAGTTTTATAGTTTCAACGTCTTCGCTTAACAGTACCAGATCATCAGCATAGCCCAGCACGGATGTTGTCCCGCCCAGATCCAACCCTTTCTCGGTTCGCATTACCTCCCTAATGGCATGTTCTAATGCCAAATTGAACAGGACAGGCGAAAGAGAATCCCCCTGTTTTAAGCCCGAACGAACCTCAAATTTTTCGGACAAATTATTACCGATTCTAACTTTATTGAGTGTCTCCGTCAAGCACATCCTGACTAGATTTACTAGTTTTTTTGGAATCCCCTGCTCGATTAGAATATTATACAGTTTCTGGCGGTCAATAGAATCGTAAGCCTTTTTAAAATCTATATACAGCTGGTGAACAATACCGTTATACTCCAATTTTTTCTCTAATATTTGCCGTAAAGAAAATATTTGATCAATAGTCGAACGATTCCGTCTAAATCCGCATTGGTAGTCTCCGATAATTTCCTCGGCGTATTCCGTGATTCGACTGGTTAAGATTAAAGTGAATATTTTATAACATACCGGAAGGAGTGAAATTCCTCGATAGTTATTACAATCCGTCCTCGGACCCTTTTTGTGAATCGGAATAAGAATAGATTCTTTCCATTCTTCAGGTAATTTCTCGTTCACCAGATCTTTTTAACCAACCGATGTATTTTAGAAACTCCAGCTTCCCGCATGCCTTAATTAGTTCAGTAGGAATATTATCGATTCCCGCTGCTTTATATGATTTTAATTTTCCGATAGCTACTTCAACTTCCTCTTTACTTGGTCCTTCTATTAACGGTTCAGCACTCTGGTACTCAGAAGGAGGACACAGATCATAATTTCCCGTATTTAAAATATTGTCAAAGTGGTCCTTAAACTTATTCAATATGTCAACCGGATCGGTCAGAATATTGTTATTATCATCCCTAATTCCAGACGTTACGGGCCCTACATATTTACGTGATCTGTTTATACCTTTGTACATGTCTCTTACGTTATTTTCGATTCTATTAGTTTCTATTTCAATTATTTTATTTTTAAGATACTCCCTTTTTTTATTTTTGAGCAATTTTGTCGTTTCGTTCTTTGAGATTCGGAAGTATTCCAGATTGTCTTCGCTAGGATTATTTAGAGCTTTTAATTTAGCGGCTTTTCTTTTTTCGCACATGTTTAAGCAATCTTCATCAAACCACGGTTTGTTATTCTTATTTTCCTTTTTTCCTAGACACGAGTTACCGACCGCTTTAATATTATCCCTGATCTCTACCCATAACTTGTCAATATCCTCGTGGTCCTCGTCAGGAAGCTCTAAAGCTTCAAACCTATTCTTAACATCTAGCTCGAATTGGTTTCTAATTGATGGATTTTTTAATTTTTCCAAATTAAAATTCTCAAAATCGAAACGGTTTTCTTTTCTCTTTTTTATATTAAGTTTTTGTCGAAGTTTCGCGATTACTAATTCATGATCCGACCCACATTCTGCTCCGCGATAAGACCGTACATTAATTATACTGCTTTGCCAGCTATGTTGTATCAAGACATGATCGATTTGATTTCGTGTTTGCGAATCCGGTGATGTCCAAGTATATTTATGAATATCCTTATGTTTAAACGTCGTACTTTTAATTATCAGGTTTTTCGAGATGGCAAAGTTTATCAGACGGATCCCATTATCATTACTATATTCGTGCAAACTTTCTTTACCAATCGTCGGAATATAAACTTCTTCCCTTCCTACCTTTGCGTTCGCGTCACCTACAATTATTTTCATGTAGTTTCGCGGTAGTTTATCATAAACCCATTCGAGTTTATCGTAAAATTCACTTTTGACTTCATCGTCACTGTCTTCGGTCGGACAATGTATGTTTATTAATGCGATTTTAAACCAACGTCCCTGAAATGTAGCTACCGAAATTCTATCACTAAAGAATTGTACGTCCCTCAAAGCGGATAGTAATCTACTCCTAATTAGAAACCCGGTACCAAACAATGATTCCCGCTTCCTCCGTACCAAATAGTGTACTTTCCTTCCCTCATCGAGCCCTCCCCTGGCCAGCGAACCTCTTGCAGAGCCACGACATCCAAATTGTACCCATTTACCTCATTCGCGACCGATTTTAGCCCCCCTGCTGTGTTTAAACTCCTTACGTTCCACGTACCAATATTTAAATCCCTATATTTCAACTTGCGCCATGAATCCCCTAAAGCAGTCCCCACCCGGAGACCCGAACGGGGGACTAGTTTACTTCCGGATAATGAGCGTTTTACCTTAGGGAGATCCATGACCAAATACATAAAACCAAATACATAAAATAAATACATAAATACATAAAAAGGGGTAAAAATTAAATAATAGAAAAAGATAAATGGAAATTATTATTATAGCTCTTTTATTAAATTTATCCTGTTATTGCATAAAATATAGATATCAAAGCAAAGTCAATCTTAAAATGTTCATAATGATTTATAATTTACTTTTTTTTTTATTATTTTTTTTTTTTTTTATTGAGAGAAAGAAAAAATACATTTTGCCTCAATTAAGGGCATTGAGTATTTATGATGCATGAAGTACAATCATACCATATATACAATAAAAGAACAACAAGATTATAAGAAAATAAAATAAAACTTGGAGTAACAGAATAAATCAAACTGATATAACATTAAATAAAAACTAAAAAAAAAAATAATAATAAATAAATAAAAAAATAAAATAAATAAATAAAAAATAATAAATAAAAACACATTCAAACTTATTTACAATATTTACAGTCAGCCGAGGGAGCTCCGAGTCGGGCCTTTTCCCCCACGTGTGGAGGACAAGGCAAGACTCCAAGAGATCCCAGCGCTTCTCTCTCAGCCGCTTCACTAGGATGGGAATCCAGTGGAGACTGATAGAGGGCACTAAAGCCACATACGCTCATGACTTGAGTGGAGAAGCTGGCCATTGCCAGGACTCCAATGACGTCTTTACAAAAGATCTCGAGGCCACTGCCGCTTCAACCTTCGAGGAGGATTGTAGGGATGACTGGAACTAGATAAGGATTGTGCTAAGGGATTAGGATGATAGGTTAGGTTCTGATGAAAATTTTAAAATCGGGATGGAATAACGTCAAGGACATAAGGGATGTTAAGGTCATGATGTAAGGTTTTGTTCGTAACATAGTAAGGAGCATTGACTATTATACGGAGGATTTTAAACTGGAAGGATTGGATGCGTTTGATGTTCGATAATTTAGTTGGCCCCCACAGTTCAAGTCCTTAGGTCCAGATGGGTTTCAGTATGGTCTTGTATATTAATAGTTTGTTTTCAATTGAGAGGTTAGATTTTCTGTTAAGTAGTCTGTATAACTGGCCAATCTGTATAACTGGCCAAAATTTACTTATTTAAATTAGTAATACAAGCTTATGATGTATCAAACGACTGTATAATATTTATGTGGAAAACTTTTGTTGGAAGGTTATGTAATGTTATATTATTATTATATATTTTCCATTATGCCTAAGAATTTCTGTTATTATTATCATTTATATTATTTCTATTCTCATTTTTTATATATTGTTAATAAAGTAAGAATACAATTTCAATGTTGTAAAAATATCAGCATTTGTATATATTTATTATCATTTGGTTTTGGACTATCCTACTCTCTAACACGTTGTTGGGTTAAGATATAATTTTGAATAATAGCTCATTACAAAGAAGACGAAATGCTAAACATTGCCCTCTCTTACAATATACAGTTCCGATTTTTAGTATCTGAAATATTTTAACCCATATATTCAACACAGGCGGATCTACGGAGGGAGGAGGGGCTTTTGGGCTGCAGGCCTCCCCTTGCCCTCCCTCCCCAAAAATGGTAAAATATAACCATGTTTTATGGAAAACAAGCATTTTAAAATTACTTACTTTACTTTATAGGCGTTCCATCAGTGCAGAGCTCCACGCGCTTCTATTTCGCCAATCATCTTTCTCCAGACCACGACCCACCATTTCCTCCTGGGCCCTCTCCATCCACCTGCTTCTGGGCCCGTCCACGTCCTCTCTACCCTGGCCGAAACCAATTCAGGACTCCGCTCGGCCAATATTCCTCCGCCATTATTTCCAAACAATTAAATAATTATATCTTAAAGTATTATTGTCCGTGAAATTACATTTAATAGGACTTCAAGAATCACTTAAATACGATTTCATATAGGTAGTTAGTTTCTTTCTTTCTTTTTTTTCAAAGCAATTATCGTTATAAATATTTTAGAAAAAAGCTTTCAGGCTGCAACTTCCCTCCCTTCAAATTAAAATCTGGATCCGATGGTGCCTCGTTACCATTTGGTTTTGGACACTATATTTTCTTTTTCGTCTTTCTAACACGGCGTCACGTTAGATGCAATTGAATTATAGCTTATTATAGAGAGGATTAAATGCTGAAAAATTTCATCGCATTCAGCATGTAGTCTCGAGTTTTAGTTTCTGAGATGTTTTAAACCATATGTAAAAACATTCCAATTAGTCGACTATGACCGACGGATCAATCTAATTCACTCTCCACAAAATAGTGCAAAACGCGACTAAATAGGTTTTTACTTAAAAAATATTGCTATGTACGGATTTAAGCATAGACATTTACTGACGAATGCCATAACTTTTCTTCGACATTTAATACGTATTTCATAACTTTTAGGCAGACTTATCTCAATCGGAAGAATCACTAGTAAGATGAAGCCACATTTTTCGACTTACTGGTGCAGCACACGTTCCAAAGCAAGTGTTAGCGCGGTGTACTATTTAAGGCTCAGTTTATACCGATGATCTTGCTGGTTCTATTTTCCTAGTTAATAAATTAAAACCACTTCTAGTGATAATCAATTTACTTATTTCATAGACTTAGGGTATTCATTTAACCACTAGATGGTTTCAGCTTGGAGGTTGTATGGACGGTTGTTTCGATAAATGGCCAATCCATTCATGTGACCCATACATAGATCCTTGGAAGGTTCAGGCAGGAAAGACGGAACCTAAACGGAAATCCAAAGTAGAAAAGGAAAGGCCACCAGTGTGGGTCCCAAATGGAATGGGGAAGACTAACTTCACACCATCTGTCATGCAGAATAATGTAAACATTTGCACGAACGCTCTGAATTGGAGGAATATGAAGCCGGTGACGTACACAAGAGAATTCATTTAACTGTTTTGTAAAAACTCAATTCAATTGGTCACTCTACCGTTGCCTGACATGTGTATTTTTAATAAAATAAATTAAAAATATTTTGTAATTTTTACTTTCACTTACCTATATAAGTACTATGCTGTTCGAGAAAGTATTGCGATCGTGAACATTTTTGAACAGGAATAGATGTTTTGATGTTCCATGAGTCCAAATAACCACGTCTCGCAAAATGTTCTTTATGGATATGTATTAATCTAGTTCGAAAACGAATAGTTGTAGGGAATATTAAATGCGTATTTAAGATTCGTACATGCCTTGAATATTACAGTAACTTTTTCGTCAAAATAGCTAACCCAACAATTTTACACTTTTGTCGAAAATGAACGATTTTGGTTAAATTCAATCATTACACCAGTGTAAAATTAAGCGGGTTTAATATAATGTAGGTCTTATTCTCATTGCTGTTCCTTAACAGGGTTTCAATAACTAATTTTCAAAAAATGTTTAATTTTAAATAATTAACTATTTCACATTGTAAGCGGATATAAAAAATGGTAAAATATATTGAATCAAGAAAATTAATTGGTAACTAACGGGTTGGGTTAAAGGTTGGAAACAGCCGAGAGCGCTTTTTCCTAAGGATGGACTCTAATTGGGACCCAGTATATTTAATGAGGTAACGAAGAGGTTGAATTGGGTCCCGGGTGTTCTTTCCAATGGCACGGGTTGGGTCCCGCCAGCAGGAAGGAAGGAACAGGTAGCTCGATTCTCTGGAGACAGGTTTTTCACCCAAACATTTTCCTGCATTAAATTCAATGTAATTTGTACTCTATATAATGTATCGTGCTTAGTCAAATGGCGAAATACATTTAGTGGTGGGAGTAGCGTGAATGAATCTTGTTTTTTTTCTTCTGATCCTCCATAATATTATTTTTAACTAATATATGTACATCAGTGTTCCCCAAACGCAAGACCAAAACGAGACCGAGGCGGTCTTGATCTTGGTCTTGGACTTGGTCTTGTGCACTCGGTCTAAACCTTAGAAAATAAGTACACTTAGATGTTTTATTGACGTAAACATATTATAGCCTAACTAAATCGATAAAATTAAGAATTAAAAAAGATAGAGAAAACCCTCCTCCATCCATCCGATTATATAGAATGGAAGAATTGTAGAGTAAAGACAATTTATATATTGTTACCAATGATTTAAGTGAAAAATCGAGTGTATCCATTTACATGACTTTCTTGTTTATTTAAAAAAATACAACTTCAAAGGTGTTCATTAGAAAAAAACAAACAATTTAATTAGATTCATTCTCCTAAAACCCAATCAGTGAAATCATTAGGGTACGACTGGATGAGCCAAGCCAAGGTAAGTTTATTTATTGTTACATTCCGCATCTACCCGAGCGGGTGATTAGCGGCTTTAGATGGAATCAAATTAGGTGAACAAATTTAATGTCTTTTACAAATTCAAATACTTTTTGTATCTTTTCTTCGTCATCTGAAAGTGCGTCAGATACGTTGGAAGGTATATTATGTTTGGTCGTAATTTTCAGTAGAAGATACTTTTTGAAAGTAGGATCCTAGTTCATTTGCTATCTCAACATTGTCTGTTACTATGCCATTTTGGGTTTTTAATATTGTCGACATTTATTTGTATCTCTTAATTGTTCTAATTGTTGACCATACTTGTTGAGATTTAGTCGAACTGTTTATTGAAGTATTCTCTCCAACATTCTTTTATTCTTTGTTTTATAATTTTATTAGTTAATAATTTTATTTATAATTACTCTCCGTTCCTTGAATTCTAGAAAATCACAAAATAGTCTGTTTTTTTTTTTTGTGTCTATTTAACGCTTTCTTTTTTGCATTTTAAACCGGTAAGTGAACCACCATTGAAATCAGCTTATAAAAAACATACTGTAACTTTGCTATAAGTGGTCTGATTCAGATGATTTTTGAAAAACTCAAATAAGTCAGTGGCGTAAGCTTAAAATTGAGATAATTTTCAAAACTAGGGCTCTGAAAAAATATAAATAGACCCTGTTATAGAAGAAATTCGAAAAACTCAAATAACTTAAAACACAGTAACGTAATCTCAAAATAAACACCTTTTCCAAAAACTATAACTCCAAACACATATAAATATACTCTCTTATATTCAGTATACAGATAACAAAAATAACTGACTCTCCCCATCTTAACCTCCATGCCTTAATATCATGAGATATTGATTATCCAGTAAAATATTAAGGAAAAATTGTTTTGTTTTATTCATATGAGTAAATTAAGGCTAACAGTAATTAAAGATTTTCATCTATTCACGGATGCTATAAGAAATAACCTTCAATATTCACAACTATTATATTATACTTTCACTTTTACTTAATAATCATGTTATTTTTTACTATAGTTTTCTAAATAATACAGTATTTAAAACTCCAATAGAACTGCCTAAAATAGTTTAGCTTAAAAATACTCAACAAATGTCTTTAAATTGTTAGAATTAGTGGAATTGTTTTCTACAAATTTTCACCTATTTATAATCCGAACTGTAATATGTTTTAAATAATGTTTTCTTTCTACAAAATGAAAATTTAAGAAACATTATTCCTGCCTTTGAAATGTAGATATTAAAAAAAATAAATAAACCTATATTACAACAACCCATGAATGGTTCTGTACAATTTAAGAAAAGTACTGTTTCTTGGTTAATGGTTGTTCATGGAGAGAATATGACGGATATCACTCTCAACCGCCAGATCCCTCCCCCTTTAATTAATTATTTAAAAAAGGTTACCCACATTGTAGAGGCTGGATGCGCCTCAGGAGGGTCTTCCATTAAAAATCTGTTCATTAATTAAATCTATTACTTATATTTTTTTTCACGAGATTAATGACATTTTTGTTTTAAACTATATTAACGAAGGTTTTTTTTCAATCAAGCTTGATTTTGCACTATCTCATAATGCAATAAGAACAGAATTTAGCTACTTCTGAAATGAAGTAACTCTTATTCAATTTGAAGTTGAGCAGGAACTGAGTGAATGGAACAAGTTCATCATGGAAGTGTAGAACTCCTTAGACTACGCTCCTCCAATTAGTAAGACTTTTATTTAACTCATTCCTGTTCTCAATTAACTTGGAGCCTTTAGAGTCAACTTGGTAGTTAACAGACAAGCCACTTCTTCTTGCTAGGTGTGTCTCAATATATTCGCCTTAACATTAATCAATTATTATCCAATAAAAATAACCATATTTTTTTATTATATATAACCAATGTATTTTGTGCTCTTCAGATACTTTAAAAACAATTTCACAATGCACAAAGTACAATGACCTACCACAATTTTCAATTTCTCTATTTTTTAAACTACTGAAACTTTTGGCAAGTTTTTTTATAGAAACATTTCGTCATAAAAATACTAGCTGAAATGGATGCAAATAATTTTCATGGAGTTAAATTTAAAAATTATCATTAATGAAATAGAAATATTGTGATCGGAGAGAAAGAGCAGCTCAGGAACAATCCAATGGTAACGAATAAGCCTCATTTAATTAATAATTGAGGTGAAGAAGTCAAAAAGTATTCGATCGGTTTAACAACACCATTTGATTTAATTTTTTTTCTTTTTATCATATTCAAAAGATTATTCCGTACAGAACTAAGATTAAAAAAGTTTAAAAAGGTACAGAACTAATTTTAAACGCTGGGCCAAGTGATTGTACAGGTGAGTGGCATCTAGTGTCCCCGCGCTAGGCCGTTTCTCCGAGAGCAGATGCAACTACTGATCCACAGAGGCAGGTTAGTTTCGAATCATCAAATCCATTTACGGTTCTACCAACTGAAGTAGATGCTCAATGTCATAACACTAATCAACCCAGTGCAGAGGTGATGTTGAAACCTACGTTAAATCAGTGAGTAACTACAAACTGTTATGCGACGAGCTAGTCAAAGAGGTAGGTTCAAACGGGTTCACTTTGAAATCTGGAGCTAATAATGTAGTTATAATGTCAAATTCTTCAGATTCCTACCGACGAATATCCAAGTATCTCAAAGAAAGAAAAGCAGAGTTCCATACCTATCAACTTCCTGAGGACCTACCTTTTCGTGTAGTTATAAGAAACCTACACCACTCTATAGGTTGTGATATAATAAATTGGGTTATCAAACATTAGGTGTACACAATATCCTCCACCTTAGAAGAAAAGTAAAATATTTCATAGATACGGTTAAAACCTTAAATATATTAACTGTAGTTTAACAACTCTAGATCTGATATTATATTTAAATATTTAGGTATTTATCGTCCGTTTATTTCGAAAAATCATAATGTAACCTTTTAAAAAATTAAATTAGCGAATAATTTGATACATTTTTCCTTTGCGATATTACAACAGAATCCTCTTACAATTAGAGTGGCAACTTTTGACCTGTCTATGACAGACAAAGCAAATCTCTTAATTCCGTTTTAATAAACTTTGCAATGGAAAATAACAGTTTAATAATTAATATTCGTACAATCCATAATCAACCGGTGATATAATAAATAGGACCTTTGGTATTTTAATAGTACTTATGATTTGTTAGCTGCAATCTTTTATCGTTAGCTCAGTTAAAAATTCAATTCAAAAATTTTATAATAGTCCAAAATAGCCTTATAATAATTTCTATTCAAAGTTGAGCGGTAAGTGAAAGTTGTGTGTTGCCAAGCACCAGATTTTTATATTTATTATTACTTGTCTTTTTTTTTGTTCCCGGGATTAGAAGTTATGACTTTTCGCTTTCAATAAAAATCGAAACAATAAGGCTCCACGCATTACGTTTATTTTTGCAGGCACCTTAACTCTCTCGACCACCGCGGCCCCCTCAGGAACAATTAATGAAGTAAATATTTTTTTGCAAAATATTTTCTTCAAGCATAATCTATATATATATTTTTATATATTTTTATAAGGTATATATATTTTTATAAGAAATCGCCAAAAAAAGAAAGAAAATTAACTCTTTA